TAAAGAGAAAGCATGTATCAAAGGGAATTTGTCAAACTTGGATACACATGGGTGAAAAGGCTTTAGTAAGAAAACAATAGACATTTTTGTATATATGCATTTTTTAGTGTTGCTCACTAAATCTGCACCCCCTTATCTTTGTATAACTTTGCGATGTTGAACCGTTTGTATAGAAGTTGTGTTAAAGCTTCTGTTCTAGTTAACAAAAGACCCATTTTATTTCAACCAATGCCAGTTGCAGTAGAGCCATGCCTCCTAATGGACATCAAGCATCAACATGCCGGTGGAGAGGAACCAAATGAACTTTGGTTAGTTTGTAAGAGCTTCCTTCAGGCCGTAATGTAGCTGATTAAAAGCTTAGCTATGGAAAGCTTATAATCACTAACAAACTCAAGTTTTGCAAAAGCGTATCTGTTTATACTTCACCTAAGAGCAAGGCAATCCACTTTGATGAATGGAAAGCAGCTCAGCAGGGTGCTATTATTAAAGCTCTAGGTAGACGTGCACTAATTGTATTGGAATCGGAAAAGCGATCCAAGTCATCCAAGTGCTTTAACTCAGGTCCACATTTTAAGTTGTGCCTGTAGCAATTATTACTTTCCCAGTGAAATGCCTCCTGTAAGTACGGACTGTGATATTGTCGCTCTAATTATTTTACAGCAGGTCAACATAAGGCCTCTAACTAAACTAAGTATGACAGGTACTTTAAATGGAATTGTATTGGCTTCTCTTCATTTGAAAATGTTAGCTTTTCATGGGGTACTGAATAGGGATGGGAACGATGAATCGAATATTCGAAATTATTCAGGTTTCGAATATGAGTTATGAATATTTTTATTGTAATTTTTTACAATAAAATGCCTAAGTTGATTACATATTATCAAATGGAATAATTCATTGTTCAATGTTGGGTCTAAAGGTGTGTTTTGCTCCGCTCACCGGTCTCTCACAGCGGGCAGAGCTGCAGGTGCTGCAGGTGATCTCTCTCTCTCGCGTCCGGTTATACTTCACTCGCGTTTATGTCCAAATCCATCAGATCTAGCTCGTTCTAGCTAATGATATATGGCTGCTGCCCCTCCCTACACGCAGATCACGCAGACTCAAACCTCATCTTATGCCCAAATTCCAGCTGAGAGGGTCTTCTCTACAGCTGGCCTGATTGTGAATTGCCTCCGCACCCGCCTCTCCCCTGAGCATGTAGACATGCTCATATTCTTAAACAAGAATGAGTATTGAATAGCTGCATTCTGTGCATAGGCCCTGTTATAGGTTGTTGATCTCTGTTGTAATAGGGTTACGTTACCCTAACCCGTTATGTTGTTCGTGTCTGATCCCTCTTTAATTTAAAAAACAAGTTATGTTTTAGCATGAAAGCTGTAGGCCTATAGCTGTCAACTGTTCAAACAGTTCAATACATTTGACAAATTCGACTTGGTTTCTATACTTATTTGAACATGTATTTATTTATCTTTCAAAATGAAATCTTTTTTTTTAATAGGATATGTACATTTTGGTTAATTGGTTAACCATTTTTTTGGGGGTGGAATATTCGAATATACATTTGCTTTCAAATTCCCATCCCTAGTACTGAACAGATGTTGTCTATGGACCTCCACTCAGAAAACACAAGAATGTTTTATCTACAAGGTCATGTGTCTTGTTTTTCTTCTTTCATCGGAGTGGGAGACAGAAGTAGAGCTCTCCACCCTCTCCTTTTTTATTCCAACTACATTCAAAGCTCTGATATCTTCCCAGACAGACTCACCCCCACACCCCCCCCCCCCCCCCCCCCCCCCAAAACAAACCTCTAGGTCTTAAACAGTCAAACAAGCTTGCTATCATCTTTTCTCTCAGAAAATTAAGACTCCTTTTAAAGTCGAAAATGGGATGTCTTCCTCTGCGTGAAGCGCACATAGCCCCAAGGCCCAGTTTGATGTGCATCTTTGATGAACTGGGAATTCTCCGGTGCCCTCGCACAGCTGAGGACTGTGTTTTTGCAAATAGACTGTCAGAGCAAGGGACTCGGATCTCTTTTCACTTTTGTTCACTTTTTTCTACAAAGGGAATTGCTTAATACTGTAAGCCACACCGTGTAAATGTCTGAGGTTTATATCTATTTGTTTGTTTTTGTCTCCTGGTCCCTTTCATTACTAGACTCAATCTTTGGCTTTCATATAACCATAATGCAATTATTAGGACATTTTACTTTAATGAATGAGGTACTTAGATGTTGCTAAATGTGCAGGACACTTCTTATTGTAGTGGCGAACTATCGGCAAGAAGTGTTGTAATTGTAAGCGGATTTAGAGCCGAGCTGGTTTCAGGCAGTGAGACGGTCTTACACACACACACACCATTCTCTTCAACACTTAGTCTCCTTGCTCTACCTCCTTCCTTTCCTCCTGTACGTCAGCTCTGGCTTTCGCTCTCCCTCCCTCTCACTTCTCGTCTCCCCCCTCTGATTGGCTAACGGAGCATCCAGCAAGCTTCCCCCTTCCCCCAGTTTCCAGAAGAATCGACGTCACACATCAGAGAGTTCCAACTGTATAACGACCGCCTGCATAACTATTATTATACATTGCGACATTCACATATTTTTGGAGGAAATCGCACCTTAAAATCAGCAAAGAGAATTGGCCAGGGAATTTTCTGCCACACCTAATAGAGTAATAACAACAAAAAGGATAATAACAGTATTACAGTGAAAGAAGGAGAAAGGGAGGTGGGGAGGGATGTAGCACAACAACAGAGAGGAAATGGAGCAGATGTAGAGCAATCCGATGAGAGGCGAGCTCCAGCTCTCGAGCCCCCCCCCCACCTCTGATTCCTGAGCTGCAGGGAGAGGGAGACACAGACAGATGCGGGTGAAACTGGATCACACCATGCAGACGGTGCTTTTAGCCTACAGAGGGGCTTCAGCGCAGGGTGCGAAAATGACAGAGGAAACCCCCAGCGCCTGCACATGCATGACAGATATAAACATACACAGAAAAAGAGGAAAACAGGGTAAATGGTTGCTTTAGGTGAGCAAACATGTCTGTCAGTATTTACAAGACCGAGTGGATCCACGACATCCTCTCCCCTCAGTGTGGGCCTCAGCATTACATAACTCTTTGTTTTTGTGTGTCGGCTGGCCGCATGTGTGCGAGTTATTCATTGCGTCGCTGCACACACTCGGGACGGAAGCCGATGGCAAAACACTGCTCTTTATAACTCACGTCGGCCACACAGAGATTTTTATTTTATTTTGGTTGCTGCCTCGACAAGGTTTTTTTTTAATATATTTCTACTCCTTCCTCCCTCCTGTATTTTATTACCAGCAGGAACTGAAATAGCATTCTGGCTGAGTGAACATTATGTCAGATCGGCTGATGTTGTTGTGAAGTAAGTGTAGGTTTAAAACACATTTCTTGCATCCTGTTTACATTCTAGTTTAACAGCTTGTTTTATTATGTAATGAAATGTACTGAGGCGATTATCCAGGGTGCTTTGTCTCCCATGATGCATCTCACCAAGCAGCGGCTCACCGACCCTGATCATCCTGATTGACTTAGCCGTGACCTTTTAACCTTTCACTTCCCCATTAAGCTACAGTATATTAGCCTGCTGAGGACTTTACAATTAACAGCTTTGGTTTCTTTTTTTGGCATTTAAAAAAAGAGAAATTAGGTGACATATCTTGTTAACAGTGCACATTGACGGTACATTTTTTATTGATAATAACATTTATTAAATGATTATGCAAAATGCGGGAAAGGCATTTACTTACCGATAATTATCACCTGAATCTGACGCTCTGCAGCATTATAGAGCCTTATAGCTGGATTCAGCCTATGATTAGCTGACCAATTATTTTTGGTTCAGTCCAAACACTCTTATACCATTGAGGTCGGCGGCAGGCAGCTGTTTTCAGCAAAAAGATTGTAAACATAGTTAGCAGTTAAAAGATCCAGATGTTTCCCTCAGAATCTTTCACCAAAAAGAGAGCGAATATTGGACCTACATCCGGCAGGTGTCCAGAAACACGACTCAAAATGAACTTTAATGTTTCTTTGTAACTGCTGGATGTGTAATTAGGTATTTGTTTGCCAGCAACTTTAATATGTTAATCTTCTCAACTTGTTTTAGCTATCCCCAAGTAGCCACACAAATGAGTAATTACAGGTTCAGGAATATTTGTCTATGTGTGCGTACGTGCATGCGTGTGCGTGCGTCTCATCTGTTGCTAAGGGTAACTAAAGCTAGTAGGACATGAGCACTTTTCTTCAGGAGCCACACAAGCAGTTAATATCTAACAGCTTTGGTAGAGCACTGAGCGGTGATCATTTCGGGGGCCATAACCTGCCACAAACCATGAGTAGCTCACGCTGATGGGGCGGAGCACTCTTAACAGTACTGTCCTGACGGGAGACAATAGCCCAGGATAATGCAGCAGACAGATCTATGTCCATTATCTGGCACTTGACCTCCTCATCACTTCTAATCTGTGACTTGGCACCGTGGCGGTTGTGTGTCTTGGCATCCTTAAAGCCTGAAACTTTATTATAGCGTCAGCCTGACATTATTACAGTTCTTCGGTTCTCCAAAAAGCAGCCATGTGTTTTTACTGACCGCTGCCTAGCATCAAGGCTCTGCTGTATTTCCCCTCATTTGCCTTTCTCAATTTAAAATGATGGACCTCATCCAAGAGTGACCATGGCTCTGAGAAGAAACAGCCAAGGCAGTTTCCTGAAGTTATACTGATTATTGTTATTTGTTGTACTCGCTAGGGCAGCAACTAACAGTAATCCACAGTTTTTGGTTGTTTCTTACAAATATAATGACGAATGAAATAAAAAATCCTAATAACAGAGTTTGTATTTCCTAATCAGTCAGTAATTGTTTTGGCTCTATATTGCGCTCAACAAAATCTGCTTATCCTAATGTTCCTTTACCTCCCTCATCCCTGCATTTCTGCTCTCTTGTTACCTGTCCCCCTCCACCCCCTCCCACCTCCACAGTGCCAGAATCTGCCAAGCTCGACCCCACCCCTCCTCTTCCCCCCGTCAACCCCAGTGCCGTCCCGTCTGTGCCCCCAAGCAGTGGCAATGGCAAGCGCGCCCCTTCTGGAGGTCAGCCGCAGACAGCACAGCAGACTCTGCCACAGCAGCGCTACCCGCCACGAGAGGTGCCCCCCCGCTTCCGCCAGCAGGAGCACAAGCAGCTGTTGAAGAGGGGCCAGCCTCTACCCTCTGGGACTCTGCCCCTCACCACGACGGGACGTCCCGCCACTACTGAACCCGCAGCAGCAGTAGCCACACACTCCTCTCCCTCCTGCTCCTCTTCCTCCACGTCCAGCCTGCCTACAGGTCAGCCGAGACACTATCTGTTGGCGAGTCGCTATCTCTAACTCCTCTCCTTCTGCAAAAGGTTTTGTAAGGAAATGCAATTATTGTGTATTGCAAAAGGGTTTCTTTACAGGTAGCAGTGGCGGTAGAAGTAGGAGATTTAAAGGTGGCTGTGAGTCACTTTCTGTATATTTATTTGGGGTAAGAGAGGTGAGTGGAATCAAGTATCAAACAGGGTAGTTGTAAACTGGACAGACCATCTGTTTTTATTAGGTGTGTTTACTCACACTACAAGCTTTAATTAACCCTTGTGCACAGCCCGATAACAAAAGCTTCACATAGGGGGTCTTTGTACACATGATGTTGCCGTTCTTATTTCCAACACAACCTGGCAGTTGTTTGAATCTTATCAGCTCTGCGTAGGAGTGGTGTTGTGCATATTCTGGCGTTGGCACTCTTGAATGACAGTGGCTTTATCTACTTTTCATGTGGTGCTGTGACTGTAACAGTGCAGTGTACTTGGGACCCGTGGGATGGCAGGTGCTGCTGTTTATTTTCACTCTGCCTTTGCCTGGCTGGGAATTGTAAATGGGGATAGAGGGGTAGAGGATGGAGAGTAAACACAGATGGCTATGTATGCATGTGTGTGTATATCTCTTCGTCTCACAGTAACACATTACGTCTTTATTTGTTTCCAAGTGATAAAGGTCTATTATTTTCTGAAGAAAACATCACGTGCTACTTGAAGATAATGATGGCACTTTCCATTGTCTGGGAAGAAAAACATTTATCACAAGTGTCTGACTATCATCTACCCATCTGATGCTGTTTTATCCAGCTATATCTCCATGGTGATGAGATGTTTACCCCCTCCGCCTTTTTTTCTCCTCCTCTTCCTCCTCCTCCCTCTCATCATCATCCTCCCACTCATCGTTGAGAGTTGATGACCAGCCCTACAGTATTTCCTGTATTTGGAGGAAGAGCTTTATGCAGCGAGCTGGTTGGCCGGGTGCCTGAGTGAGAAGGGGAGAGAGGAGAGAGAGAGAGGGAGGGAGAGAGAGAGAGGGGAGAGAGAGAGGGGAGAGGAGAGCTTCTCTCTTTTCTCTCTTTTCTTTCTTCACTCTTTTTTTCTTTTTCTACTCCTCTCGGAGAGGGAGAGAGAGGGAGAGAGGGAGGAGAGGGAGAGAGGAGAGAGGGAGAGAGAGGGAGAGAGAGAGGGAGAGAGAGAGAGAGACTCTAACTATGGCAGAGGTCCAGTACTGTGGGCTGAAGTGACTCATGGATTACGGTAAAAGCTGCTGCTTCTCTCCGCCCCTCTCTGGCAAGCCCGTTCGGCTCTGCTTTTGCTCTCTTTACGTCTTTGAACTGACGGATTGCATTAGGACAAATAGACATGAGGACATTCCAGACTGATAGACAGATAGGAGTCCATCAGGAGGTGTATTCATATATATCCCTCTACACAGACTGCATGCAGAACTGGTGCACAGAGAAGTTTTGCACGTGAGCATGACGCTCTACTCTGTCTCACTTTAAGATTTGTTTCGTGTCTCTTCGACTATCTAAAGTCGCATTTGAAAAACGTCACGTTTAGTTTGTGGTATGTGAACTTGCATTCAGCACACCACAGGTTAACTCAACTTCATCACTGTCCCTAGAGCCGTATCTGCTAACAGAGTGATAGTCCCCCTCCCTACTTTAATTTCTGGCAAAGAACTAACAGTAGAAGTACACTAGCTGCATTCATTCCCTCTCCCTCTCCTTCCGCTGACTCCACTTCGCCTCTCCCCATCTTTTATTACTCGGTCATATGTTGGCTCTCTTGAAAAGTAGAGCTGATAAACATGGTCTGTGTGTCGACAAATATACACATGCTGCATGCATGTAAACACAAACAATCTTTTTCTATGCAGTCTTAGCTTTATGTGTCTCTGCTCTGTTTTAAAAATATAGTATCTCAACTTTAAAACAGCGACAAGCTTGTTAATAATCAACATTCGATAGTTTAGATGTTTTGAAGTGGGGGAGTATTAGGAACTAATTTATAGTAAGTGTATTACCTACAGTTAATTTACAGCCAGCCTGCCCTCCTTACCACACGTGAGCAAAGCAATGTGCTACTTGTGGACGGGGCTGTGAGCAAAACCTATTTTAGCCACCTAAACAAGAGGCCACCAAAAAAAAAGATATCAGTTTACGAGTTTGCTATATTTAGAATATTTTCACCGCTCTGCCTTGCCATGAGACAGCAATACAGTCATGTCTCTGACAGGGAACTGCAGCAGTTAGCCCCAGGCTCCATTAGAAATAAAACTCAGTATTTTTTCCTCACAGAACATGGGAGTGTATACTGCTGCATCATTTGGTTTGTTTGTGTTATTATGTTTGGTGAATTCTAATGAACCTAAGTGGGTATAGCTAAGACGCTACAGATAAAGCAGTGAAAATATTATAAATATAGAGTATCATGACATGCACCTAAACCTGTTTTGTTTTTTTAGATGTTCTTTCTTAGATGGCTAAAATGCGTGTACTTGCTGCCACAGCAGTGCATTGCGTTTGTTCTGTGCAGTGCCTTCTGTCTGCTTCTCCAAACTGTGGGCACGCCTGCCACCATCTACTGTAGGCCATATGTCCTACACTGGAATACTTTTTTAATGAAGATAAAGATCATTCCCATTGAGCGTGTTCCGTTACATGTCAGGGAAATCCCTGTGTGCGTGCACTCAAAGTGAGAAGTCTTTGTGTGGCCATGGTGCAATCCTATTTTAGTCTGACTTTTAACTAAACAAACCGGCTTGTAGTCCTATACTGTGTCGCCTGTAGCACTACATTTTGTCTTAAGCCCTAGTTAAAGCCCATGAAGCAACATCAAGTTTGTTTGTACCATTAGGCATTGTACTGGCTCAACAGAGGCTGACACCAACAATAACAGTTCAGCTAATGTGCGAATAACGTATGCTAGACTTGATGTGCTCTTTAAGTCGGCTGATGACGCTGTAAAAGAGCCTTGGGAATCCCCTCAAAGAGGACTGGGACGTCTTGCGATGTGATTAAACACCAGCTCTCTGTTAACCACAAATGTTCAGCGCGCCGCTCACTCTTTCTTCTGTCTAACTTTCCTCTTGCTATGTGCACCACTCGTTGTTCTCCGGTGCACATGCGTTCACCTCCTCCACCTCCGCTATACCAACACCGCAGCACACACATACCCTCGATGGCCCCAGGGGCAGCTGGGATTAGTCAGGCTGCACATACTATACGTAACTCTGTCAATCTTCCCTTTATTATAGCCTTGGCTTCCAATGTTGCCTTTTGCTTGGCTAACAACCCGTATCCCAGGGCCCTTCCATGTAGGAGGTGTGAGAGAGCGAGCTATTTTAAGACTGGCATGCTGGAGAAAGCCCTTGACCCGGTTTATCCTTTAGAGCAGTGGTTCTCAAACTTTTTTCAATAATGTTCCCCCTTTGAAAAACAAATGCAGCCAAGTACCCCCTGATCAGCGCAAAAACTATTTGTTAAGGAAAAAAAGCCTATATAAAGAGGTACAGTACAGCGCTGCACCATCGGTGTCTGATTTATTAAAACAACAACATTGTAACTGAGAAACACTTAAATGCTACATTTCAAATGTTTACAATCCATCACAAACCAATTTTAACATCATGCAATAACACTAAGACGACATTAGTTGCATTGAACTGATCTTTTTAATAAGTTGTACTTACAATTTAGTGAGAAACATGGGGATCACTGAGGATCTTTGTCATTCTGACAGGGAGGCACCTGCAGTTATTACACTTTGCGTTTTGAAATATGTGTAACTGTTAATATAAAACCCACACTGCTCAAACTTCGTTACTTTTCCTAAGATTGGTATATGTATTTATTTTGGGGCGTGGGGAATGAAGAGAACAAAATATGAGCATTTTATGAGCATGGGATTTTGACTCCTCATAAAAACATTATGCATAATGCTGCGCTATACTTTGCGGCCACACACCGTTGTCAAGCAACGCTTATTGTTTAGGTCCTTTGAAAAGCAGGCAGTCATATAATTAACTAGAACTAACTAGATCTGATAGATTTGGACATAAACGCGAGTGAAGTACCGGACGCGAGAGAGAGGTCGGATATCAGATCAGCTGCTGCTGACAGAGAACACGCAGCTCTGCATGATCACAGCTCCGCCGCTGTGACGGACCATTGAGCCGAGCAAAATACACTAAGAGTTAGACCTAACACACTTGGCTAGTTTATCTACTCTGGAACTAGCTAAACTAGTTATAAATATATGTATTCTTTACTGTCGGGTCATTTGAGAACCACTGCTCTAAACAGGAGCAGCAGAAAAAAGATACTCGCAGGCAAACACTTTTGAAAAAGGCATGTTTTGTCTCTGCTTGGGAGGATAACATCACTTAAACAGGAAAGCAGCTTCAAAGAAAGCATCCTTACAAAACAGAATTTTCTTGCATATATTTGTCTACAGTCCCCGTCATGAAGCCGTTTTTGTTGTGAAAGGATGAATACAAATCTTCTAACAACCAATCAACTATCCGTTTCCATATTCGCATCACACCAGACCCTCTAAGATCCTTAAATCTTTGCATAAATCAGCCAGGTCAGTGGACTATCTCAGATACGTGCATATTTATCTCAATCCCAGTAGTGGTAGTAGATACATGCATTTCTTACATTATTTAAATCGCTCTAATCTATGCATGGGTAAATATACATTGTAACTAGTTGTAGTTTGTGCTGAAAAGCAAACATGCATTTAGGCCTGCAACTTGTCTTTTCTAAGTGTTGATCTAATGACATCATCAAAATAACTGATTGTTGCATCTCGCCAAGCAATAAAAAGCAATATTCAGTTTACTGTAATAAAAGTAACACATAAAATAAGTAAAAATCTAAATTCTTAAAGCACCAAATCAAAAACAATTGGGATGTGGCGTATGTGACCATTAAACACAGTGGTAGCACATTCCTGTGGGCTGTGTGTGTGTGTGTCTGTCAGAGAGCTTGTTCCTCTGTCTGGCAGCATGCATTGTCAGCGCTGTACCATCCAGTCTTTCTGGCCCTCGGGGTCTTCATTAAGCCGGGATCAGTCCAGCTGAGGCCCTCACAGCCCTCCTAGATTACTTCCTCCTTCCATCTCTCAACATCCATCTCTGCATTTGTATTTTCATTCCTCATGATCCCTATTTACCTGATCCTTGTTTCCCCTGCCTTCACACACTACAGCACTATACTTGTACATGTGGTACACGTGTGTCCACAAACATTCGCGAAAGGGTTGCTGATCTGAGCATTTAGAAAGTTGTGTGAGCATGGTGTTTAATGTTTGCCATCCACACAGTAGATGCAGTGTTTACGTTGTGTGTACGTTAACGCATAAGCAGAAGCACGGCATGACCTCAGTGCATGTTAGGTCCTCGCAGTGGAGAGGCACAGGGGGCAGAACCTCAGCAATAAAGGGACTTTGTTCTCTACTAAACATTGACTTATTGTGTTGTTGCGTGGGAGGTGGGATCATTTGTAAACAATACCAGCCTTGATCCGAGTGACCGCTGCTCTGTTTTCTTTTTCTTCGTCGAGCTCCCGGCTGTAGATATCATCCTCCATCCATGCTTTCTATTTATTCCAATCAATGTCTTCCTATTTGGTCTCTCTATGGAACCTCTTGCTACCCCGTAGCCTCTCCAGTGCCATGTGGTGGACCAGATCACCGTTCCCTTATGGTGCTCTGTGTTCAGATCCATATGATGCATGCCCTTGCCCTGTGCACACAAAGCCCCCCCATGAAGCGGCACATTTCCACTCTAAGCGTTGTGCTGCTGCTTATAATTGCAGCATTGTGGACCAGCTGTCAAAAATTAAAATACAAAAAACAGACATTAGTCATCGTGTGTGATATGTCTGTTCATACATAAGCACATGTGTGTGAGAATTTCAGCACCGGAGGGGGCGCAGCAAGCTTTTGTGAGGGTTCTCTTGCTCTCTTTTGCCTGCCGCAGCTATTCAAGAGGCTTCCCATTGTGGGCGGCAGTGCTAATTGCAGATGGAGTGGTCTTGGCTAAATATTTAGTGAAAGGTTGAAAGATGTGAGGGTGGAAGGGAGGTGGTTGAAGAGTCCCCCTTTTTGTTTTGTTTTACTTCATGCCTCATGAGTGCATAATGAAGGTCTCCAGGCTTTATCGTTCAGCTGTTAACCCCCCCCCCCCCAAATCTCTCCTCCCCTCCCCCAACCAGTGCTTTTCCAGAGAGGGAGGATATTCTCCGTCAGGATAGGAATAGAGCAGAATATAAATAAAGCCAGAGGGAGGCAATAAATAGAAGAGGAGAGACCCAGCCAAAGCAGTGCTGGTGGGAGGGACAGAGCAAGAGGGGTGAGGAAGGAAGGGATGGGGGAAGGGGGGGTTGTCTCATGCCGTGCAAGAGCTGTGCAACTTCTTGGCAGCATTTCAGAAATGAGCCTCCGACGCTTGGCGAGACGAGCAGACATATTGAAACAAGGATGGTCGCTGCATCGCACAAAAATCTCTTTACAGGATGGTTGTGAGGCTCCTCTCCACAGGTATTTCACATCTCCACTAATTTCCTCTTCAGCCTCCCTCTATGTGGGAGCCAGCCTTGTCAACACTAGAGTCTCTCAGTGAGTGAGTGAGTTATAACGTGACGCTACTGGCTGTTTGTTGTTTGCTGCTCTGCCAAAAAACTCAACCCAGAAAGCATCATTTGATACATTTTATATTTGTTGTTGCCATTCTTCTGTTTATGTGTACATCAGTTCTTCTGTTCTGCACAACCATCCTGTTTCACTCCTATTCGTACAGTGTGGGCAGAGTTTGATGAATATTATATAGGAGCTCAGTGCGCAGTGAGTGTGTGAAGAGAGAGTGAAAGTGGATGCCGTCAGAGCAGACCACTGTTGGCGGTCGGAGCAGAAAAATTCAGCATTAAAGTTTTCAAATGGTAGTTAATATATAATGTGTGTTTCAGTTTGTCCATGAATGAATACTGTAGCTCCCCAAAACCCAAGTTAAGTTCCTGCCTCTTGCTTCCATCTGCTGGCATGTTGATAATTGTCATGGGATGCAACCTGGGTCTGGTCTGCGTCAATGTAATGCAAACCATTGCCTTTCCCCTGTGTGTTGGCATGTGACGGAAATAGGACAATGACATTTTAGATGAGTAATGCAGTAAATCAAACTGTTGAAAATAGCATGAATATTATATTGTTGAAGTTATTGAGTAAAGCAGTCCTCAATTATTTGACTGAAACTTGGCTTAACTATATCATGATATGCTACCTTAGTACACTTTAGAACCAAATATTACTCAGTCCATACATAGAGTACATACATTCAATATTCGGAAATTAACATTATGACTAACAAATAAGCAACAATTCAGCATGCACTGGTTTCGACCTAGTCTTCTTCTCTCTTCTCTGCGTCTGCCGTGTTGTCTTGGGAGGTTATATTTACCCACCATGTGGATGAATTTTTAAAGCATGCAAACAAAAGCTGCAGTGACGGACGGTGCATTGCAGGCTTACAATGTTTAGTTATTTTCCTTTGTGTTTATTATTGTGAGTGGGACATGCTTGCTATTAAAGCAGCGCTAGTGGAAGAACAGGCGATAGCTCAGAGCCTTTTTGGCTGGAGATCAGCACTGAGAAAATGGCGGCCCTGCACTTCTCAGTAGAGTGACGCTACAGAACGACAGTGCTGTGTGTCAGAAACACAGTGCCCTCTTTTCCCCCCTCCCTGCTCTCTCAATGCCTTCTCTCTCTCCTTTAGTTGCAAGCATTGAAGAACGCTTGAAAACAGGGGCTGGTACACAAATGCTAACACTTTGTAGTTGTAGTGAGGCTTTGTATACAAACTGAGCATGCATGTGAAGGCATGTGTAAACAATAACGCACTGCAGCACAAGGGACAGCAGGCATAAGCCAATGAGGTGGCAGTAGGTTGATCAGTGCAGTAATTATGATCTGCAACTCGGCTTAGTTTTATCAACATAAACCGAAGCATTACTTTGGGTTGTCAGATAACTTGTACAGGGAGGTGGAGGCTGATGTGTTAGTGAGGAGACAGGCGACAGGCTGAGCTACTGCGTATTTCTGTTTCAAGTCAAGTTGAGGTCAAATGGTTAGGAGCTTAAGGATGACTCGCCTTCATGGTCCCTGTCTATTTGCGGTTCACAAAAATACCAGACCTGAATGGGGTAACCCGTAAGGAAGATGCAGTGTGGCTTTTAGTTCTTCTCATTGGTTCAAATGCATGCATTGTTTAGGGCTATGAAGATTTTGCATGTGGTGAACATTTCCATTTGGTTAACTTTTAAACCTAAATACACCCTATACATATGGCCATTTTTTATATGAAAAGAAATATTGCATGCAACCAAAGCGAAATCTAATGGTACATTTTTGGTTAGATTTGCATTTGTATTTTTAGAAACAGTTATACATGCAGTTTTACCACAACCCATTCACATCTTAAACAATATCTACAATGATGAAAAAATTGCATGGACATCTGAAATACCAGCACATTAATGGATAAAACATATATAAAATGGTCAGTTTGAATAAATGTGCTTTTAATGTTAATACCGAAAATATTCTTTTGAATCCAGTTATATTCTTCAAAAGAACAAGCCAATATAGCATGTGAGACAAGTCCATTGTGCTGTAAACACTGTGTTCCTTCCTTGAGTCATAGTACATTTGAAAACAAATACCTGAAAACAATGTGTGTTTGTGTATAGTGTTTGCATAGAGTGCGGAAATACTGCATTTATTTTCTAATTAAAGCTCCCTATGGCATCATATTAATCACTCTATGTGTGTTTGCAATTTCAGTATGGGTGGTATTTATTTTCATTAGTAAAGCATCTTGTGAAGTCTAGTATGTATAAGTACAACCTTACATGTTGCCATGGTATTTAAACCTTACTAAGCAAGTGTGGGTGTGATGACACACAAATATTATACCTCTCTTATCTCGTCCCTTCTTACTCTTGCTCATGTTATTTTTATTTTCTCCCTTACAGAACTGCCCCCACAAAGTGGCCAGGGAGCCCAGTATGATAATCCCCTCTGGGGATCTCAACACCTGCCAGCTAACAGGAGTGCCACAAGTGCTGCATCTTCCACCAACCTCAGCGGCTGGGATCAACTGATCATTGACCAGAAAGAAACAAAGGCTTGGCCTTCTATTACCCTCAGCCAGAGCCAGGCCCCGGCCCCTCCAGGAGGATGCAATTTGGACACTGACCCTGGTCATCTGACCAACAGCAGCAGCAGTAGTACTAGTAGTAGTTGTAGTACCGTGAGTATGGCTACGGGGGCCAATAGCCAGACAGGCCACTTCTCTGCCAACCACCTTAGCAGCAAGGCCAACAGTGGGCCCAGCCCTGCCAATCATACTGGAACCAGCACGCTCTCCAGCCAGGTTGCAGCAAATCGCAGCTGGGGCTCTGGGCCTGGATCCTCCCATTGCCCCTCCCAGTCCTCAGTGGGGAGTGAAGGGAAGAACGACAGCCCAGTCGGGGGAGGAAACAGCAGGGGTTGGGGGTCTTCACCAACCTCCACCACCAACTTTAACTTGAACCTAAACCCTAATGCCAACCCGTCTGCCTGGCCGGTGTTGGGGCATGACGGGGTTGGCACAGGGGGAGGCAGCTCAGGGGGAGCCAACACCATTTCACCTCCTCAACCTTCACCCAACCTCTGTAACCCGCCTGCCCCCCCACCAGCCCAGACCAGCAACTGTACTGGAGCCAACACTAACAGCAACTCTTTGGGGATTGGCAGCGCCTGGGGCAGCATGATGGCCTCCGACGCGCCAGAGCCACACCCCTCCCCGTCCACGAATGTGTCTTTCAGTTCAGAACCTCAGAACCTTAATACTGATGGACCAAATCACACTAAGAAGCAGGAACCCCCTAGCCCCATCCACAGCTTGCCTAGCTGGGGTAATGCAGCTGTAGGCTTGGGTTCCATGGGCCAGACCCCCCCAGGGGGCTCTCAGGTCAATGGAGAAGATGGTAGCTCGGTATGGGGTAATAGTGGCGACTCAAAGGCACCTTCATCTAAGGAGGTATCTGGCTGGGAATCTGGCTGGAGCCGTGGAGGAGGTGGAGCAGGAAGCTCTGGAGGCTGGGGGGACCAGTCAGGTGGGAACTGGGGGAAGCCGTGCACTGAGGAGGCCCCGGGAGGCTGGGACACACCCACCTCTCCTCCCCAGGACCCAAAGGCTAGTCCTTGGAACAGAGCTGTGAGCACAGCTGCTGCAAGTGAAGGCAGCAGTGACAGCATGGAGGCCCACCCCCAGCACAAAGACCCCTCACCCAGAGATAATCCTGCTCCCTTGGTGCCTGCCCAGGATCTGGACCCCAGAGTGTTGTGTAACACTGGCTGGGGACAGACTCCTGTCCGCCAGCACACTTCCTGGGACATGGACGCTAAACGGAAGAAGGAAGCAGCAGCAGCAGCAGCAGCGGAATCATGGGGCTCTGGCCCTACTACTCCAAATGATGCCCAGGGGCCCTCCAAGGCTAACATGGCCCCCCCTCAAAGGAGTGACCCCGGGAGCAAAAATGATGTGCCTGGTTCTCAGGGAGCTTCAGGTTGGGGTGGAAGCATTGTTGCTAACAACCAGCCTAGCTCTGGTTGGGGAGAGCCTCCCAACAACAATAAGCCCCCGGGCGGCCCTGGTGGCTGGGGGAATCCTCCAGCAGCAGGGCCCACCACCAGTATACCCAAGAATGGGGGTCAATCCTGGGGAGAGGAGAAGTCATCCGGGTGGGATGATTCTCGCAACAAGCCAACATCCCAAGGCTGGGGAGAGCAACCCAAAGCATCCCACAGCTGGAGCAATAGTGGAGGGAGCAATAATGCCGGGGACTGGAGGGAACCAGAGGAGAGCAAAAAGAGTCCCACCAACCCGGGCTGGGAGGGGGAGGCAGGAGGCTGGAAGGAAAACCCAAGAGGTTGGGGGATGTCTCCTTCAGCACCTGGGATACCTGCAGCTGGAGGAAATGGGGGCTGGGGAGAGCCAGTTTGCCAGCGCCCCACTGGCCCTCCTCAAAGTTGGGGAGGCAAGCCTCAAGAGGGGCCCACTCCTCAAAGTTGGGGAGGCAAGCCTCAAGAGGGGCCCACTCCTCAAAGTTGGGGAGGCAAGCCTCAAGAGGGGCCCACTCCTCAAAGTTGGGGAGGCAAGCCTCAAGAGGGACCCAGTCCTCAAAGTTGGGGAGGCAAGCCTCAAGAGGGGCCCGCTCCTCAAAGTTGGGGAGGCAAGCCTCAAGAGGGGCCCAGTGGTGGTGGTAGTAGTGGGGGAGGGAACATGGGCTCTTGGTCTGGCTCAGGCCCCGCAAAGCAGGGTGGAGGCTGGGGGGGCAGTAAGAAGGAGTCCTTAGCTGATCCCACAGGCTGGGAAGAGCCCTCCCCACCTTCAATCCGACGTAAGATGGAGATTGATGATGGGACCTCAGCTTGGGGGGACCCTGTAACCTACAGCAAGTCAGTCAACTTGTGGGACAGGAACAATCCAGGAAAGTCCCAAGCTAAAGTTACCACTGGAGGCAATTGCCCCCCAGGCCCCAACAGCACCCATTCCCACTCACACAATCACCCCTATCACGGGCCGCCTGCACCTTTACAGAACCACACCCAAAACTCCCAAAACTCCCAAAACCAAGGACCCAGCAGTGGGCCCATGGAGCCCGTTGTTCAACACCAGTCGGGGCCATCTCACAACAGGGGTCCCTTGATATCTCAAGGTAAGATATCACATTTGGATTTTGCAAAGTATTATAGAGCTGCATAGCCCACAACAATCATGCTAAGCCTAGATAGTCATACTTATGTGCTAAACTGGATTGCCAACTATAAGATTTTAAGGGGAATTAGATTTTACTTATTCAATATGTTGATTATATCAGTTTCATGTTTTTCCACATTTTGTCTTTCTGTTTCATCAAAGTAAAGGTGTTAAACTTGAAAGCTGGTAGTTAGCGCGGTGCACTGTTAAGCTCCAATCCCTTGATCCACTTAAAGGTAAAATCTTGACCTAGTTTGCCCTCTGTGGATTTACATCTAATCGACTATCCAAATGAGTTAAGCAGTGCCAGCCCCGTCTTTCCATGCGGCTCCTCGAATTTCACAACAACGGACACGTCTGTGTGGGTAACCTTGGCAACATCTCATGGGTACCCAAAGGAAGCACAAGAATGCTGTTTACAAAGTGCCTCTCGTGAAAAAAACTCTTCACCACAAACAGTTTGAGAAGTATCGGAAGTGTGTGATTATATGGGAGTCACCATCTGTCAGTTGATGAAGGGAGGAGGTGGAGCCCTGAGGAGCTAAAAGTGGACTTACGCCCCCTGCTGACCCTCACTTGACCCTGCATGCTGATTCTACAGTGGATTTATTTACTTTCCAAAAAAAATTGTAGTGTCCAATTTGCAGGCAAAAATTGCGGTTGAGCATATAGGGATTTATAACCCTATGGGGATAACTACTCAATACTATTCATAGCTAATAGAAGAAAGTAATAATTGAGTCTGTTTAGAATAGTTTAGTGCTTCGGCCACTCATACTAGAAGGTTGAATGCTTGTAATAATGTTGGAGCAGCCTGCAGGACTTGACCTCTCCCTGGAGAGAGAGCTAAGCTGAGTCTGGCCCGGTCAGATGTCCAGTGCTGTGGCTCTCATGCCAAAAGCAGCCAAAAGCATCCAAGCTGCGCCAAATCTTAAATTGGTATCTTCTCCCTCTGTCAACCTTCCTGCTAAGCCAAGCCCAGTTCCTGACTTCCTGCAATAGGGGCACTTTACACTGCTACACAGAAGGGTAACCAGGGTGATGACTTTAGCAGCTGTATTGTTTTTTATAGAATGACATGTCAGCAATTTAGTTTACAAATGTTAGTTTTATATTGAACAGGCGGAATCATAAGCCTGCGTGTCTTTGAGCATCACACACTAATATTGAGCTCAAAACTATGCCACCACAAGCCAACAAAAACAACTTCACCTGCCACTTATAAATACCTGGCCAGTAAACACAACAATCAGTAACAATGCATCATAATGGCATGTAGAACACATGACAACAATACAGCTGTATTCAATGCTTCTTATACATCTAGAAGACGGCTTTTCATTTTTTTCTTCTGCTTGCTACTGTCAGATTTGTCAGATCATTTCTTGTCTGTGTCAAATATGACAAAAGACTGGGGGTAGTAGTAACATATGATTTACTTTTAAGATCCTGTAATTTTTTCGGTAAAGTATTTTTGTTGACAGAATATTTTACCTTGTGTGTTTCAGGTTGGGGAGAGATACCGAACTCCCACACAAAATCAGAGAGCTCTTGGGGGGAAGCTCCTCCCCCTCCGGTCAGCACCAACAACGGGACGTCTGCTTGGAACAAATCCACCGGCGGCTGGGGAGACAACAACCCGGACAGCTACAGCCGGGGCAACCCCACAATGACATCTGCTTCTTGCAAACCTGGTAAATAAATGGTTTTACTGATTTATACAGTGTGTACTGTGTGTGCACTCTTTGAGGAATTATGATACCATGTGTGCTCCACTGCTGAAAAAGTTCAATCATTCTCTCCTGATAAGTAAAGGATGTCTTGGACATAAAGGACATCAATATGGTACAAGAGAAGCAAGAGCTCTGGTAATTTAACCCCCAAATCCACACTGACCTCTAGTGGCTGGTTCAAATTACTTTTATGTAACAATGTGCAACATGTGCTCTTTTCAGTTTATGTAAACATGTCTTTCTTATTGTACCACCCGTGAAAGTTGTTGCTTTTATTTTCATTCATCAAAGAGTTATCTTTAACCTTATACATAGTTTGAAAAATGAAAGAAAACTAGCATGACGACAACCGACTGGATCCTTAACAGTCAAGTGTATGTTGCTATTTTTAGGCATTCGGGTTTCGTAACATGCAGAGGTGAAGTCAAATATGTTCTTACTTATGTAAAAACAGTACACATATCATAAAGATATTGAAATAAACAAAAGCAGGAAGTAGTTCAGGGCCGGCTGGTTGACTTTTGAATTATGGGAGGAAGAACATTTCTAAAAGGCAGATTTTGAAAAGCAAATTCCCTACCACCTACTAATGTTTTATGTCTTTTTTCCAGCCCCCAAACCTATGCAAGACGGGTGGGGAGGTGGAGGTGAAGAGCTGAACATGCAGGGGGGTCAGTGGGACGCTGAGGATGGAGACATGTGGAACAACTCTGCCTCCCATGAGAACAACTCCTCCTGTAACTCCTGGGGAAATGCATCCAAAAAAGGCCCACCGAAGGTATGACGCAGGGCAATTTGCATACAGAGTATTAACTTAACCCACAAGAAGAGCATGTGATATTACATTTCCATAGAATGTTATTAAGTTAACAATAGTTGTTCTGTCATCAGCTCTCCCAGGGAAAAGTCCAAGGGAAGCAGGAAGATGCCTGGATCATGAACCGTCTCATCAAACAGCTGACGGACATGGGCTTCCCTGTGAGTTAAAGTGACTCTGCTTCACTGCTCCACTTTCATTCTCAGAGCTAACACTGGGATTATTGTATTTATTATTTTACTTCTGATCAAAGATGGTTGCTAAAAATATTTTTTAACATTTACTCTTCAAAAGTGAGTCACTAGAAATGAGCAATTATAGTCTCCGTGTGTAGAATTAGAAAATGCCCAGCTTGAACAATTCAGAGTGAGCAATATCTTCTCTGTTAGTAAACAATGAAATTGTCCGAAAAAACTGAATTCATGTTTGTTCTGCGAAAGAAAAAGTTTGGGTGTAAATATCTGTGTATTTGTATTGCCTATTAAATTAATGCTAATTAGTCCACCCTGAGGTTGATGTTAAAAAACAACAGCAGATATGAAACGCTTACTTTATGAGTCGATCAACAGAAAGTTTATCTGCAAATATCATTTTTTAAGTCACTTAAAGAATTAGCTAGAGTCTCTGGTACCACGTCTGAAATGTGAAATGTACGACTGTTTTAATTGAAAATATATTTGTGTTATAGACTGTTTAATCGGACCCAAACTTTTAATTGAACAAATTATAAATCAGGAAAAAAATCAAGCGATCAATTCAATATTAGCTGTTAATAATACAACATTATTTAATGATTTGTTTCCTCATTACGTTCTGGTCCTTTCTGCAGAGGGATCCGGCAGAGGAGGCTCTGAAGAGCAACAACATGAGTCTGGATCAGGCCATGAGTGCCCTGCTGGAGAAGAAGACGGAGCTGGACAAGAGGGGGATGGGGTTATCCGGCCACGACTACAACAACGGGCTCATCAACAAGCCTATGGGCTGCCCTCGGCCTACAATTCTTTCCAAAGACCCCTCAGCAGACCCTCGCTCGCCCTTCATGGACAAGGTTAGCCATACATACAAATATTCTGTACATAAAATAAGTTTGTGAACTTTAAATGCCTGATAGCAGCGTGAGTAATAATGAATTGAGAGGGTTTGGACGGTATCCCTGGGAAAGCTGTTCACAAAAAGAGGTTGCAAGTTAAATGAAAGATAGTACGGCAAGCTGCACTTAAATAAATGTTAAAAGGGTTATTGTAACTATAATTTGTCTTTCTATTACAAAACAAATGAGAGTTTAATTTTGCCTATTTTCCTAAATGTTCTTTTCCATTTTGTTGTCTGATGGGAGGGAGTTTTACAGGTGCACATGACATTTCAAATAAAATCAACAATTAAATGTCTTAACCGATATCTCCCCCTGCTGCACTTCTCAAAAGACCTTTGGGGTTTGGTCATCAAATATGCTACTACAGCTGCAGGATATGATATTGAGATCACTTTGTGGCTGCATCCAAATGTGTTGAATTTTAGATAACATATTAAAGACATTTCAAACCCATGTAGATGATTGATTTAGAGACTTGTTAAGGACTTGCTGACCGTCTCTCGACTCTTTCTCCGTGCAGCAGATGCAGAGTGGAATGTTTGGCGGTGGTGGAGCAGCACAAGCCCGGGCCATGCAGCAGCCTCAGCCGCCCCCCCACCCGTCAGTGCCGCCGCTCAGTTCCTCTCAGCCGAGTCTACGTGCTCAAGTGCCTCAGTTTCTCTCCCCTCAGGTATATAAACACACACGTAAATGTATATATATAGTTAGGCAAACACACACTTGGCCTCATTTATAACTTCCTAGGCTAACATTTTAATGTATGCAGTGATAAATAATTAACATTTAGATTACAGTCTTTAAAAACATCTCTTCACTCTGACTTTCGCATTTAATTATTTATCAGTCAAGATCTTTCCTAACGTATATAAATGAAGGAGATTATTTTAGCTTTTCCGAGCTTAATACCACAAGTTCTCATGGGACTTCTCATAGACAGTGTATGCACCAAACCCAGACGGATGCTCTGCTCTATACTTTAATTGTGCTAAAACAGTGTTTTTGTTACTTTGGTCACAGGTTCAAGCACAGCTCTTACAGTTTGCAGCAAAAAACATTGGTCTGAATCCTGCACTTTTAACCTCACCAATAAACCCTCAACATATGACCCTTCTGAATCAACTTTACCAGCTGCAACTGGTGAGACTCATTTAGCATGGTCTGCTTCAGTTTTATGAGATACATCAGATATAATTGCATGCATTAGAGAGCACTTACCAAATATTCACAGGGCACAATTGCATTATGAGCATTTTAAAATGGACTTGACGTTTTTTGTATCATGTTTTCTGTAAATGTAGATTAGACTATTTTTGGTTACAAAGAAGTCAATGGTTTTACAGACACAGTGACTTATTTTGACATTAAAATCTTTATCCTATCTAATACACAGGCATACCAGCGTTTACAAATTCAGCAGCAGATGTTGCAGGCGCAGCGAAACGTTTCTGGCCCTATTCGACAACAAGAGCAGCAAGTAAGTTTCCCTCTTAAATGGACTGTACTTATATAGCGCTTTATCCAGTCTTTAAGACCCCTCAAAGCGCTTTACATACTACATGTCATTCACCCATTCACACCCATTCATTCAGAGCAGTGTACCTTACTCTAGGACCTAAGATTCACACACATTCACACACATTCACACACCGTTGACTGCATGGGCTGGGATCGAACCCACAACCTTCTGGTTGAAAGACGACCGCACTCCCTCGCAGCCACAGTCGCCACTCATTTCCTACTTTCTTATTTCTCACTTTAATCACTGAAAAATCATACATTTACTGAGTTATAACTATTTTACCTAAATAAAGCTTAATGGGATGCGAAAATTGTCGAGGTCACTGTTCATTTCAGTTGTTAAATGTAACAATTACTCATTATAGATCCTAATGTCTTCATTGTGATGTTCTCCCAGGTTGCACGTACAATCAATAACATGCAGCAGCAGATCCAACAGCACCAGCGTCAGCTGGCCCAGGCCCTGCTGATGAAGCAGCAGCAACAGCAGCCGCCCCCCTCCCACTCGGGCCTGCATCCTGGTGGGTCCAAATCCTCCCTGGATTCATTTCCAGGTCACCCCCAGGCTCCAGGCCTCGCCGACCTGCAGACCAAAGAGCCGCAGTCATCTCTGAACCCTTACAACCCGTACTCTCTCTGTGAGTGGCTTTCTCTTTCTCTTTGAATGGCATACAGGTAATGCTGCGCTGAATCTCATGGGCTTGTGTAGTGACGGCTCTCTTTCTCCTCAGCTGGACTGAATCCAAACATGAATGTAAACTGCATGGAGGTGGGAGGAATGTCTATGAAGGAACCCCCCCAGCCTCAATCGCGCCTATCGCAGTGGACGCATCCCAACTCCATCGAAAGCCTCTCTGGAAGCTCCTCTCCTCTAGAGCCTCACATGGGCAAGCATGGTGAGGGTTTATATATTATTTACGATAACAAATAATGTTGTAATTGACATTACATTGACCCCCTTTACACCAAGGACCAGATGCAGACTATGTCTTCCATAGTTTACTTTTATACATATTTGTATTTAATAACTTTTTTAGGTGGTAACCTGGGCCCCCCCAGGTAAGCCCCATCAGATGGAGGACTCTTACAGCCCCTACAACCTGATGTCCAGCTCAGACTCTCCTACCAGCCCCCTGGTCCCTCAGGACAACTGGGGGCAGGGCAAGAGAGACAACGACAAGATGGCTAATGGGACCAATATCAACTGGCCACCAGGTGAGGAACACTCAAAATACTCTGTAGTCATTGTTTAATCTAGTTAGCAATGTTACAAATGACTTGTGCATTAAATTAGTTATGCTATACTATATGAAAAACACTATTATTGATTTAACATATCAGAAATATCAGAACTAAGAGAGAAGGCCGGAGCTCTTTTCTTAACTCCTTTCATACATATTTCATTGTTACCTGCAAAATTGGGGATAATAACACAGGACTATTATCACTCCATCTATAAACAAATAAAATATAATAAACACCCCGTTTAACTTCAGCAACTAAAACTGATGCAGTCAGTGAATACAGATACTAGATGGTCAATTGGTAATGTTTATATCTTCGCTATTGTAGGGGAATAACATTTCCAAACATTTTACTTTTGATTTTCAGAGTTCTGTCCTGGTGTGCCGTGGAAAGGCCTCCAGAATATTGACCCTGAGACCGACCCGAATGTGACCCCCGGCAGCGTCCCCAGCGGGCCCACCATCAACACCAACATCCAAGATGTCAACCGCTACCTGATGCGGGACAGGAGTGGAGGTGAGAGCAGGCTCAAGCCTTTTCATGCAATGGCTTGAAGTATGTAGTTTCAAGTCCACTGAACTTGTCTGACAGTTTAATGAACTTGCTGCTCCCAGTTTCTCTTGTTTCGTTCTTCATTTTCCCACTTTTCACTGTTTGCTATAATCATTATCATTTACCAGTTTATACTCTTCTCTTCTTCTAAAGCTTACTATCATTGTTTGTAGACCATTTTTCCTTTACTCCATTTTCTCTTTCTGCTATTTTTTCCTTATTTCTTTGTTTGTCTATTTGTTTGTGTTGATGGCATCGGCTTAGGCTCCTCCCCCACTTCATCTCAGAGCGAGGCTCTGCCTCCCTCCACTGATTGGCCAGTCAGTGCCTACACTAGCTCGTTCAGTCTGTCGTCCCCGGAGTCGGACGATGCAGGTACATGGTTTACCCATAACACCCCCCCCCCCCACCATGCAGTGGCTGAATCACTTCAGATCAACATTATCCTTTCCCTCCTGTTACTGTCAGACTCACAGCCTCAACCCCTCTCTGGAGAAACACATCTCTCCTGTCCATTCAAGCTCCTGAACAATATGATCCTCCTGAGCTCTCTCCCTGTCCACTCTGCCTCTCATGCAGTGTATATTTGCCCCTGGTGTTAGTGTATCCTTACTCCTTGTGTGTGGCATGGGAAGTGCTGTCCTTTGGGAAAAATATATGAAGGAACTTTTAAGATAATTTTGCTCTGCGTGATATCCTCCTGTGGTAGCAGCTGTCCTTTGATCACCTGATTCTGGAGGCCAACTGTTCTCCCTCTCTCTTTCCTGATAAAGGTAAACTGTCGGAGATGAAATCCACTTGGTCTCCAGGCCCCATTTCTCACAGTCAGGCCTCTCTGTCCCACGAGCTGTGGAAGGTTCCCCAGGGCCATAACCGGAGCAGCAACATGGCCCCTTCCCGACCCCCGCCTGGCCTCACCAACCCCAAGCCTTCTTCAACCTGGGGGGGCAACTCGCTGGGCCTGGCCCAAGGCTGGAGCAGCTCTTACACCTCAGGTAGTTTGACAGTGAACTATATAGCCATTTTGTATGCTTCCCTCCATTCCTTTTGAAATAATGATAGAACTGATCTTACAATGAAACCTGAGCAGACTAACAATAAAAGAAATGCAGGCAAATATTACAAGCTAGATGGTGTATTATTTTTCATTTTATAAGAACAGTAGATAACAATTGCACAGGTTGGGTAGTTTTATTGTTTGTGGATAAATAAACAAACATTTATTGCAGATCTGTTTGTATTTTTGCACACGTTTTTGTGTATATAGAAAATATAGAAAAGTACATTTTTTGCATAGCAAAGAAACACTCGAGACATTTTATTTCTGTTGTGAAATGTGAGTTGTCTAAAGGGAAGATTTGAAAGCTGTAATGGGTTAAAGGTGTATAGTTATAGTTTCTATATGATGCTGCACTTTGATGTGGCTAACAACAACATGTTGAAGGTACAGAGTAGTCAGAGTTGACAAAGACTTAAGATCTTGTTGTGGTTGAACTGTCAACTGACAAAATCGACACGCCCAATCAGTTCTGGTAACTGATTTTGGTTTCAAACAAGCTTGTTAAGCATGAATATCTTTGTCTCCTCTCTTAAACACAGCAGGTACCACATGGAGCACAGACAGCTCCACCAGGACCAGCAGCTGGCTGGTTCTGAGGAACCTCACTCCACAGGTACCAGCTCACAATCCGCTGCTTGCTCTTAACCTTTAAGATTGAATGCTTCACAGTTTATTAAATAAGTATCCACTAATGGCCTTTCTCTCTCTCCAGATTGATGGTTCGACTCTGCGCACACTGTGCATGCAACACGGCCCCCTCATCACATTCCACCTCAACCTGACGCAGGGCAACGCTGTGGTGCGCTACAGCTCCAAGGATGAAGCTGCTAAGGCTCAGAAGTCACTGCACATGTAAGTTTCTGAATGAACTGCTTCTAGGTGTTGCAGTAGATTGTAGTCAGCACAGCCCCAGTTTGGAGTAACAGGCGAGAGTTAAGACACAGAAGCAAAGCAGTCGATGGGTGGGCAACAGTAATAACTTAAAGTAAAGTCCCACCTTGAAAATAAATCAATATCACTTTAAGTGTAGGGCTATTTTTGAAAATATTTTCACCGCTTTACCTTGCCGTCAGCCCTAATGCCTTTTCATGGATCTCTAAGGGCTGTCTCAGGACAAGGTGAAGCTGTGAAAATATTCATTTACCTTAAAGTGATATCGATCTTTTTATATATCGAAACTGAGGGCGTGCCAACCGCCATCTACTGTATCAGAAGTACCTCATACGACATTACTTCAAAACATAAAAACTGTCCCTTTTTAAAAAGGTTTTAGTCGTTACTCATGTGTGTTGCCCCTCCCCTCCATCCAGGTGCGTGCTCGGGAACACCACCATCCTGGCAGAGTTTGCTGGGGAAGAGGAAGTGAATCGCTTCTTTGCACAGGGCCAGTTGCTGGGCGGAACCACCAGCTGGCAGGCCTCTCCGGGCTCCAATCAGACGAGGATGGGAGGGTCCGGAGCCCCCCACCCCATCGGCCACTCGCCCCACTGGAACAACAACAACGGCAGCAGCAGTAGCCTGGGAGGCGGAGCAAAGTCGGGCGGAGAGCTGCTGTGGGGCGGTGTGCAGCAGTACTCCAGCCTGTGGGGACCCCCGAGTGGAGAGGAGGGACGCGTCATGGGGAGTCCCACCCAAATCAATACACTGCTGCCTGGGGACCTGCTGAGTGGAGAGTCCATGTAGGACGGAGGAAACAAGCACCAACAGGAGCAAAAATCATTGTGGAGATAATCAGTGTGGCTGTAACGGTGAAAAGGAGAGACACGAGGACGGCGGGGCTTCATCCTCGCTGCTCACCCTCGCCATCCCCCTCCTTTTTGTTTTTAATGACATTTCAGTTGCAGTACTTTTGTGAATCTCAGTGAGAGATTTTGGTTACAGTGTTCAGCTTTTACTTTTGGAGACACAGGAAGAAGTCTTTCGTTCGACAAAGAAAGATAACGTTTTACACAAATGAACTGTTGGGAACTCGCCGTGTGAAACATGTACTTTAGTTGAAACTGACACGACGAGCTGCCACCTTTAAACTTGCGTAATCCCTCTCTGCCTTTTCAGGCAATCATACTGCACCTCAGAGATCCATGAAAAGGCATCATTCCCAAAGTAAAACCCTTCAATCAGAGTGGTTGTCGAACTTTCAGCTGGTCAAGATGCAACATTTGTTTCTCTCAGCACTAATATTAGCCTTAACCTCTTTCCTGCCCTGCTATCCTCACTCACTCTGTACTTGGTGAAGAAGCATACGGACACTTGCACATCCCTTATTTCTGAGCCAGTGAAACCTGAGTGGAGAGTACAACGTCAGCAACCACAGCTCACAACTTCAGTGCATTTTCGCAAGCAGATTGAGTTTCCCCACACAAGGCTCAAAGGGAATGATGCAACTCTGTACGCCGTGTTCAAGCCATTTATTTTTGTAGGGTTTTTTCTTTTTAAACCATTGCAAAACAAAACTAAGAAGTGATATTATTCAACTGTGTTTGTCAATCTTACCTGACGAGAACGGAGAGACTTGGGGATCGTCAGATGTACAGTTATGGACGACAAATATGAACCACTGCTATTACTAAGGAACTGAAAAGTCAAACACTTCAATGCACCTCAACTCATCTGCGGGAAACTCGCAGTTTGGTCTCGGACCCTCTAACTGATGTTGTGGAAAACCTCAAGTCGTAAATGTTTCCCGCCGATGTTTCCCACCATTTCAAGTGACGTGCAATATAAGCCACCGACTCTAACCGTCCAAGCACCCTACCACGCCTCTCGCAGAAAGAGAGGAGACTGTAAGGAATGATTGAATCTGCCCTGCACCCCCCACCCTAAAACTGCCACTACTATCCTTCATCTCCCCCCATAAGAGTGTGTGAGCTCGGGAGAGGAGCAAGCTGGTCTTCAAACACCTTTTTGTCCAAAGTACAAGGACGTACCCACAAAGCACTTCTCCAGCCAGCCTACTCTCCACACTTATGCCAGTGAATAGTTTTGGGGGAGAGGGAGGGACAGGTGTGTGTGTGTCCGGTGTGTGTTTTCTGTGTATGTATGTATGATTGTGTGTGCATGCTTGGGAAGAAGGCGTCATACCAAAATGAGAGGAGCCTGTTTTCCTTTTTACCCTGAAGACCAGATGACCTTTTTTTTTTTTTTTTGCCCAAATTTGAGTTGGTGTAAAAAGTTTGAAGCAACGATTTGTGAATAGGCGGTCGATCATAGCACTTAGCAAGAGCGTCGCAGCTCATTTACCCTTAATGCCAACGAATAGAAAAAAGGAGAAGCAACACTGGCAAATAAAAACTGAAAAAAAGGACAAAAAAGCAATCTGTTCAGTGGCTTCTCTATTTACTTATTTTTTAACTTTACATGGATGTGAAGATGTTGTTTTTGTTTTTTTTTCATCCTTCTTCCCTCAAGTCGGTGGGACCAGGAAGGATGTCAAACATGGTAGCAAAGTGAAGGGAAAAACAAAGAAAGACGATTGGGTGCAGCAGGGAACGACCCCAAAGCACTCGCCCTCTTTATCAAAGTGAATATCACTGTTACATTGCATACTTTGAAATCTTTAGCCTTGGTGTCTGGAAACACTAAACGTGTTTCAGTTCTACTGGATCCAGGGGGGGAGGGGGGGGATCGCCATCTTCTTCGTCCTTTTTTGTTGTTGTCTTCTTTCTATTGGATAGAGTGGCCACCGAGTGCCTGCCTGCTGCAGAGTGCAGATTTCTGCAGCAGCCCTCGCCCCCCCTCCCTCTCGCTCGCTGCCTCCCTGCGGATCCCTACAGACTGGCTTCCCTCCCCCCCCTGGCCTCCAGGCCAAGAGCAGCTCTTTCAGAAACTGGCACACCCGTATTACATTTACTACTACTGCTGCGCCAGAGTCTGTCCTCGGCAACCTCCAGCTCCACTCTCTCTCCTGCAAGGATCACTTTAGCCAGAGATGGAGGCGTTTTGATGAGTGTGTTTTTTTCTGGTTTCACTTATGGAATTGCCAGTGTGCATTTTATTTGATTGTTGTCATGAAGTTTGCTGATATTGTTGCTGTTATCATTGATGATATAGATAATGATTGTTTTCTGATCATGGCTTTTTGATATTGGTCTTTATGCAGTGTTCATCTTCTCTCCTGCCCCTCCCCCCCCCCTCTACCAGGCTCACAGTGTGTAGAGTAGAGGCCGTACCAAACTCTGCAGATCTCAGCAGGAAAGGCCGGTGGGTGGAGTGCGACAGACGTGGGGGGGGGGGGATATTTGAAGAGTCTAATCAAGGGGGAAAGATTGTGCAGTCAAAGGTTCTCCAGTTTACTGAGCCAACTTCCTGTGTGCACCCTTGGGCGCCTCCTCTCTATGTTGTCCCATAAACACACACATCCTTTAGTGTCGATGGGCCTCACTCACACTGGTGCTTTATGTTTAACTCTGGGAGCACTCAGTTACACTTAGAACCACCTCAACTGATTACAGCCTTCCATTTCTATGCAAAGACAAGGAGGTGTTCGTTCACAGCCATCTCCCCCCCCCCCCCCCCCCCCCCCCCCCCCCCCAAATCTGCCTATCTTCACTTATCTCTCAACCTTTATTATTACCAGGCAGCTTCCCTTGACCCCCCCCCCCCCTACACACACACACACACACACAATGATACAATGTAGACAGAGCTTGTAGTTGACACTAAAAAAACCCGCTGCTGGCATTAGAGGTTGGCAAGTATAGTCGCTTCTTCAGTCTTGTGCCAACTGATCTGCAAATATCTACTTCCACCTTGCCATTTCCTAATTTATCTTAAGAGCGAGGAGCGTACACCACGAGCTCCAGCTGTAGGAGGCTTGAGAGGTATGGGGGAGATAAATAGTGCTTGTATTTCAGAAATGTAGAGGAGAACCAGGCTGCAAGAGGGGGGGGGGGGGTCCTGTATGTGTCTGTGCACTGTTTATGGGTCACATCGGGTACATCTCTTTTTAAAAACCAAAAACATATTTTTCTTTATCATCAAGGTTTTTTTTGCAAAAACTACAAAAAAAAGTCTTTCTGTTGCTCTGCGAGCTGCCGCCTTCTCGCCCCGCCCGACCCCCTCTCCGGGCCTCGTGCGGGGAAAGCTGTATCCAGGTGGTTCGTTTCGTACCCCCAACCCTGAAGGTCGTGCCAGCAAATAAACAACAGGTCGTCTCTGCTCATCCGGCTCTGGGGACCTCGCGTTTCGGCAGAAATAGGGTCACACCTCAAGTTTGGTACCAAGTCTTAAAACGTACGGGATTTGCCCTCTTCCAGAGTCGCTTTAGACTCGCATCATTCAAGAAAACAATCACTATTGCCTGTGTTTGTTTGTTCCTTAAAACCTGCATTTATTCCACACTGGACTTGAATCAAGCAACTGGCGTCGGGAGTGGGAAAGAGTGGGAGGGCGGGTCATTGGGAAGGAGGTCCAGTCTCAGATGTGCCCTGGATTTCTTTTGGGCGCAGCACCAGCACTGAGCCCCTCCCACCCCCCTCACCTGCATTCTTATCTACCGTTCTAGTGTTGTAAATCAGATGCACTCCCTTTTTTAAAGTCACAGGGACTCAAAGGCAACTGGAGCTTAAGCAAAATATGCTTCTCAATCATTGATAAGACAAGGCTCTGGGACAGGGGCCCCAAAAAGAGTTGAGTTAGTAAATCACTCTTTTAGAAACAAACCAAGGCTTGGGTTGAATATGCACATGCTAGTCCGTATACAGAATACAACCATGAGTACATCATGGGTGTATGTGTGTATGGCTAGATCTCTCGGTTTTCCATTTGGCCTAAGCCCCCCCAACCCCGCCCTGGCTTTTGGCCCTATGTATCCTCCTCAACATTATATTTCCCAGAAGACAAGATCATAAACATATCAGAGTAATACAAAATAATGAAAACGAATACTTGAATCAAAAGAAGCGCCAATAATGTAATGTGAACACTTTTTTGTAGTGATTTTTTGTCTCATTCATACACTTCAGAGATTTTTGATAGCATCGGTTCAGAGTGAATTAAATTTGAAATACGAGTGTTGTTTAAAACAAAGATGGATATAAAGGCAAATTCACGTCTGTCGTATTTGAGTGTTTGCACAAGGCTGCTTGTATTGTATGTTGAATGAATGTTTAGCGTGTGAGGTGAAAATATGTGAGAGCTCGTGATTACAGCGGAGGAATTTCCGCCTCGTGTTTCTTTTCAATTCAGTATACTTTTGTTGTTTTGTTTGCTTGTCAAAAAATATATTCTGATGTTAATTGTTACTAGCCTCTAGCGTTGCACTGAGTGTCGGCCTCACCCCTCATCCAGCTAAACGAACAACATGATACAAGTACTGAGGGGAGACGGGGACAGTTCATGTGTAAATGTTTACTCAAGGACTAAAATAAGTGTGTTTTTAAAAATGTAATGTTTATCTACCTTAGTGGCTTTCATTGTGGAATAATCCAAGAAAGTATGGATCATAATTGAGTATTGCACCATTTTTTTTGGGACTATAAACCTAACAAAATAAACAAGAAAAGAAAAAAAAATCACATATGAAAAAAAAATGCAGCAAAAAAAGTATTTTGCAGACCTGTGGCCATAGATTGGGGTAGAAGGACTTCAGCTCTCCCAAATCTGAGCAAGGGAGAGAGTGAAGGAGCGACATCAGACTGAGCCTTGGCTTCTAGGGCTCACTTCAGAGGTGCCTACCTTTTTGGTTTGTTAGCTTTCGTTCTGTTATCACTTATGTTCACTCATGTTGTCATTTGTTTTTTCCTGCAAGGCCACTGACGGTTTACAAACACTTTGTTTTTTTCTGGAGTTAAAAAAAATAAAAATTCGGTAACACAAAGGAATGAAACCATGGGAATGTTGGAAAAAGAAAGGACAAATGCTTCCAATTTTTAGAAAAGTGCAACACCTCAAAGAATGAAGATTTGTTGTGCTACTTTCAGAACTCTGGGATCGAACAGTGTTGTCTCGTTCTGTTTCACCTTCTCTGTGTTAAAGTTGATTTCATCTGAAGCCTGTATGTTTTATGTTTATATATATTTTTCCTTTTATATAAGAAAAAAGAAAAGAAAAAAAGACATTGCTCACTATCTTGCACACACATGAAAAAGTGGATCTTGTCTCAGGAAGGCCAGGGTTCCAGAGTACCAACTCCACGCCATTTTAATGTACATTTTTATGATGAAAAGAATAAAATAAAATAAAAAAGGATGATTTTAAAAGAAACAATTCTAAGCACTGAAAGTTATGGATTTCAGAAGAAGAGAAAATACCTTTTGTTTCTAAATCCGTAGCAGTTACATAATAACCAAATAATGGACTTTAAATGAAAATGGAGTGCTTTATATATAAATCTATATATTAAAATTGCTTTACATTTAAAAAGAAAAAAGGTCAATGATTTTGATTGTTAAAAAAAAAAAAGGAGACCGTGAATAACATGCAAAATGCTGTATGTTTGAATCTTTATTGTGTTTTTTTAATGAGGTCCCGTCCTGACTGAATCAGGAACATTGTGCATTACTCTTTCTCTCATTCTCCCACAGCGGGTATTATTAATAGATAAATCAGACTTTTGTGGAACATTTTTCACATTTTGGAGGATGTTTGTAAAACATGAGCTGGTTGTTAAGGATCATGAAACTATGCACAAGTGTTTGTGGGGGAGGGGGGGTGGAAGATGGGGATTTTATGGCCTACTTCTTAAGTGGCTGATCTATTGCAGGGGTTTTTGGGATCCAATGTGTTTGTATTTGTCTTTTAAGGGGGTGGACGGGGGGTGGAGAGGTGACTCATGTATAGCCCTCCACCTCCAGCTTCCTTCCCCTGATTCAGATTGACCTAGCGCTACATCGCCATGCTGTGTATTCCTAAAACCAATGAGCGTCTCACTCTTTAGCACTGTGGGATTCTAGCCTGTCACCCTCAAGGGGTTTTCTCAGTTTGAAAGGTTTTTGTTTTTTAGGGTGGGGTGGGGGATACGGGATTAGGGCTGCTTTATTTTCTTTCTTCATTTTTTTTTTGCCTTTTTTTTTTTTTTTTTTTTTAATATTAAGTAAAAATGTCTGTACTGAGATTTAATGAAAAGTCAGTGGCTTGTAATGTTTTATTTTTTCTCTCTGTATATCTTTCTCCTCATAGAATGTGATTGTTAAATGACATGCACCGAGACAAATGTTTTCATGAACTATGGAGCTTCTTTCAAATATTAATAAAATAGCATTTTTTTTTCTTGGCTGTTAAAAACGTCCTATTTGTCGTTTGTCGCTGTTCCACCAAACTGAGACTTTTCTTACTTCCTGGATGAGAAGAAGCCTCTCACTCATATCAAAGGCAGTACAGAGCTGATGTCACTTCCTGTGAATCGTTGCTGCACCATGAGTGCCATAAGTCACGCTCTGAGGGCGAGCTGTCTGGGACAGGCGTAATAGTTGTCCTGTGGTTGTCGGATGTTTGGGTTAGCGTACACAGGGTAGTCTGCTTCCTCCCGCTGTGAGGGCGTCTCTGGGTTATTTTCAGCGCTCTGCTGCTTCCTGGTCATTTCCTCATAGATAGGAACCGGAGGTTGTGGTCTGTGATGATACCTCGCCTTCACCTACAACACATAACATTATTATTTACTATTAATTAGACATCAATTCATCTTCACGTCATAATTTACTCTTTGTAGTGAGTTATTATGCTGAAGGCCTTAAAGGTGGGGTAAGAATGGAGAAACCGCAGTTAGAGTGCGCTAGAATTTGAAAATACACAGCCTGAACAAATCTGCCACTTCCTTACAGAGCCCCTCCTCCAACACACACGAACGCGCACATGACCAATGAGGGCACGAGATAAGTTTGTGCATGAGATGGAAGGCTGACAGGCAGGTAGGCCATCCAGTTATTTTAGCCGGGCCGGCTAAAATGATTGGTCGTGCTTTTTACAGTACTACGGCTTCCACAGATGACGTTTTTTTATGGATTTTTTGTCAAAGCACTTAAGATATTCATTGCTATCGGGATGATATATATATATATTCCATGGAATATAACAAAAAGTGTATCTCGAGCCAGTTTCTCAAACTTACCTACCGCACCTTTAAGTTGACAATAGTTGTCTTGATTAATCTTGAAGTCCATGGGTCCTTTAACAGGGGGTCCTCAGAGTTACTGCAGTGTCACTGCCAATGTATTGTTTGCTAGGATTAACCTAAAATATTTTTTATCTATAAAGCTGAAACAAAATGTTTCCTAAAATAAATCACAAATTATATTAATTACAAACTATTTGCTCATGACAGATGTACAAAGACATTAAACACATTTTAACTCACAACAACTAAGAGCAAAACCAAAATCTGAAAATTGAAAAAAAAACAATCTATGGGCAGGATGTAACAATGAAATCCAACTATGTCTTACGTCATGATTAGCGGTACTTGGATGGGGATTGGAGACCCCTGTTCTAAGCTATATACAGTACATTAGACAGCAACGCATAAATAACATGATATAGGGAGTGGACAAATTCAAATGAACAGACACTCTTCTTGTAAATAAATCTCTGATAAGGTAAAGCCTATATTGTTTTTAAAACAATCTAGATGTGTTGATTAACCATGATGGTATTTGTGAGGCTGTAGTATTACCAAGTTCCCACTACATGCAGTATATGTCTGTCAGTAAGTAGTACATATGAGTAATTATAAGAGATATACTTTTTTACATAAATTGCCTTGAAAACTGTAAATGTTTTTCTCTATTAAAGCTGACAAAAGCTGACACATTGCTATTGAGCTTAATATGACTCCTGTTTTAGTAGTTTTGATTTGTTCCTGTATTAAAAGCTAATGCGTGCGTCCATTTGCACATGTGTTGGGAGGGAGATGACACAGGAGCATTGTAGCTTCACAAAAAAACCTCATACATTTTCAAGTGTAATCAGTATCCTGCTCAGTGAAACTGTAAATACTCACACATTTGTCTACGGCCAGCCAGCTGATTGTGAGCAGAAGAAGCCCCGCTACTGTGAAGATGGTGAAGAGCAGAGGAGGGTAGCTGGGAGAGCACTGGCATGACCTTCCTGCATCACAAACACACCAAAACACATTCATATCTGCACGGAGGGATTTAGATGAACTGCAAGAGTGTCACGTGAGATGTTTGATGCACATACCTGTCCCTTCAACCAACAAGAAAACCTGATGGGCGCTGAGGAGGATCTGATCCAACCTGCTGTCCTCAGTGTAGCTCAGCTCCCACAGGTAGAGCCCAGTGTCACTGCGCTGTAACTGGGACACGGTTACATTAACCTGCGGGGACTCCAGACCTCCAAGGAGCTGCAGACGCCCCCTGTGCCCCGGGGCGACCCTGAGCTCCCCCCCCACAGCCAGGGACAGCAGGGTGGTCTGGCTGTGGGCGCTGTGGTGGTAAAGGTGGAGGCCCGTCAGGCGGCCGGCCCCCAGCTGGGGGGAGCAGGAGAGCTCCAGAGACTGGCTCTCCATCAGCTGCTGGAGGATTAACTCTGCAGAGGCTGGAGGAGAGCAATAACTGTTAGAATACACAGGTTATAAGTAGTCATTATGCTGTAATGAATGAGGTCATCACTTTGACAACTATTGGATGTATTACCATGGTGTTTTTGTATATGTCATGGTCCCCAGGGCCCAAGAGTTCAAAACTTTTAATCTCAATCAGATACGATCAGATTTTGAAATCCCATTTTTCGTGATCCAGGATCAGACAAATCGGACAGATGTTGTACCTGGAGTTCAAAGCAATTCAGGATAGGATCACCCTGATCCAGATTACGACTTTTCAATATGACTAGATCCTGAATATCAGTGCTTTAATCCTACCGAGCGCCATCTAGTGGACATGAAAAATAATACAAGGAAGAGACCACATTGCAGACATCTATTGCCCGCAATTACTTTTGAAAGGTGATGACAGATGATGGACTTTTTTTGTTGAAGATATTTTTTCTTTAATCTAAATTACATTTGTGATTGACAATCTTTGTTGTGATACTTTCATGAGCATAAACATTTATGTCAACATTTGGTTGAAACCAAAATAGGCCACCACAAACGTGAAAATAAAATGTATTTCCCATGAGGGCTAAAAATTGTGTATTATTTCAGTTAACAAACTTTGCCATCTAATTTAAATTGAAACATATTTTAAAATAAATTGTACAGTACATTTTGCTCTGGTAATCCACTGGAAATCCACCCCTCTGGTGGGATCAGGATAATCCAGTTTTTTGGGATCAAATTGATCCCAATCCTGTGTTGTCGGTTTGAACTACCCGTTTTGAGGATTTGATCCAGATTAAAGCTTGGATTGGATTTCCTGATCTGATCGGATATCAAAGTGATCCTAATCCTTGTTTTTTGGTTTTGAACTCCCCAAAAGATAAATCTGATCTGATCAGATAGGGATTAAAAGTTTTGAACTCTTGGGCCCAGAGGATTAATCATACAGAATTTGGTGAACTTTTACTTCTCATAGTGCCACTAAAAAACGATTGGATGTGTTGCCATAACATTTGGTATGCATAGTTATTTTCCCCTTATGAGAACGTGTTATCATTTTGGTCATTACCCTGTAAAGCCGACAAAGACAAACCCAGAAACTAACTACACAATAACAGTCACTTAAATATCTTAGTGCAAGACTGTCCATAGCAGCGTAAAAAAGTGTCTATCTCACCCTCCCTGACCAAACTTCAGCGTAAATACTAGCAACACAATTATTTTAATGATTGTTTAGTAAGGAATGTTTATACAACATAAACATTAAAGAAACAAGGATGTTTAGTCTTTACTGTTGATACCTAACATGGCTCTAAACAAAGCCACACAACTGGTCTGATGAAACATCCCCGTAAATAAAAACAGATTACACTGTACGAACATTACATGTTGATGTCAGCTGTCAGGATACACATATCTGTGTTTGAAAGAGGAAAATAAAACGTGAATTTCTCTTACCTTCAAAAAGCTGAATGAAAATAAGAATGCATGCCAAGCTCGTCTTCATGGCCTTTTCAGTTATGAACTCACCGACAAATACCAAAGCTGACTCACATTGTACTCCTCCTATTTCCTTCAGTCCTTGTGAGGTTTTGTGGACAGCCTCACTTTATTTATTGTTCTTCACCTCTGAGCAGGAAGGGGAAATCAAACCAAGAGCAGCCGTTGAAACGTTGCAGTTGATTTTGCACACACTGATGTTTAACTGAATTTCAGAACTGAATCAAACTCATCCACTGGATTAACACCACTAATGTGTAAAGTTACTCAAACAAACCCTTCTCAAAAAAAATCTCAGTATTTGTTAGCAATATAAACATTGCTCCCCACGCAGTACTTTATATATAACACTTTTTTTATAGTTTCATAGTAAGTCTTCTCATAGCGATCCTGTTGTGATATTATCAAGTGAGAAAAGAAGATAATCACTTTCATGTTGTATCACCGGATATGTCTGGTGTCTGCAAGATGAGTGTGAAAGTGCATGTCAGGAGGAGAGTCATCAGCAGCAGGGGTGGATATATATTATAAGTTAGTAAACATGTACGCCGGCACAGTCCGATTCAGAAGCTCTCATAAATAATAATAAATGTATATTTTTAAAGCTTGGGTTGTGTTTTGACCGCACCAAAATAAGTGCTATTCACATACAAGACAATACAATGTGTCCAAATACAAAGGAGATATTAATAGGAAAGAGTGAAAGAGGTTAAGTCAATAACCCTTGATAAGAATGGGTTCGCCTGATATGTCAGTGGTTAGAGCTGGCAGCCCATATTCAGCCACCGCTGCCTCGTAAACCAGTTTGAATCCTGAACCAGCCGAACATTTCTGGCATGTCCTCCCCTCTGTCTCCCCCTTTCAACTCTAACATCTCCAATAACGGCCCTTTGGACCGAAAAAAACTAAAAAGTATGAACAGAAAAAACAAAATGGATCAATCTAAAATAACATAAAATATTATCTAAATATTTAGGGTGAACATCTGAAATGGATAATTAAGAATATAGTTTTGAACTTCATATTTTGTAAGTCATTTTAAATTAGTTGGGATCATTTTAAGTATTTGGAGGCATTTTCAATACTTTGTTTGAACTGTATGGATTGATTTTTACATGATATGTCTTATGTTTCAAACACAGATCAAATTGTATTTATGTAGCTCAAGCTTTACATTTTTATTTGATTTTCTTTGATTTAGTCTGTACCGATCAACAAAACATGAATGATAAAAACATAATAAATGACACCATAGACCACAATAATAATGTGATGTGTACAAATTAAGGATCCAGGGGGATGTCAAAATGCTTCCTGCATGGTTTTCATGAACTGCAACACTAACAGTTTATTTAAAATCCAAAGTAACAAGCAATGAAGCAAATATATGCACATTTTAAACATGTGAAAACGCCCTTCACCTCTCTAAATCAGCCTCATGTCTTGAGTTCAGAGTGTGCAGCCAATTAAGTTGATGCGTGTCTGATTGGACGCAGGTGTGCTGCTCTGATGAGGATAATGATCGGCTAGAGTTTAAAAAGCTCCACCGCTCACACTGAACCATAGGCCTACTGTGAGTTTGTCAGGAAGACAAAACAGGAAGTTTCCTGTTATCAGTTTCACTTATGGAGGCCTTTCATTTTCAGGTTATCCTCCTTGTAGGACTCTGTGTTAGCTCCTCTTTTGCTTTCCTGCCCACACAAGATGCTTCGTTTCAGAGCCTTGCGAACACAGGCAGGTCAGAACTCGGGCAGCAGCAGCAGAAGTCTCCGGCTGAGGAACCGCAGCAGGTGAATACCATCAGAGTGACCTGTCATCCAGACTCTTTGGAGATTGTTATCAAAGCCGACATGTTTGCGGTTGGAGCTCCTGTTGATGGTGACGAGATACGCCTTGGAGTAGAGACCAACAACCAGTACTGCAGAGCTACAGCGTCTTCAGCAGATGAGTACAGTATCAGTGTTGGACTTGTGGAGTGCGGCACCAGACACTGGGTAACTTTTTTCATTTCAAATATGATTCATTATAGCCTTCTAGTTTTAAACACGTCTACTCTCCACAGGTAACTGAGGACTCTCTGATCTACACAAACCTGCCTCATATACTCTCCTGAGGCCTCTCCATATGGTGTTGTTCGAATGGAGGAGGCTGTAATTCCAATTGAATGTCATTACGAAAGGTCTTTGTCTCTTTTTGTTTTTTAAAGCTCACATTGTAAAAATCTTTGAATGATGTCTGTCTTTTTTTAAATGCATGTTTTCTGTTTCTTAGGAAGTACAGTTTGTCCAGTTTCTTCACTCATGCCTACCTCGGATCCCCTTCATGTCGACCCAGGCTGCAGTGGAAATGTTGCAGTTTAACTTGAGAATCATGACAAGTGGGTTTTGATAATTATCTCATGTTATGAGTTGTCATGTCTCTATTTGCACTTAGTACTTTTTTCTGTCCGAGTGCAGGTGACTGGCAGTACAAAAGAGGCTC